ACTTTCCACCATGGGAAGGTACCCTTGTTTCATGAGGAGAACTGGCTACCTTCCAGACTGAAGAGCGTCCTCAAGGAGAAAGGGGACTAGTGTTCTCGAGTTTTGACTGCACGAGCCTCTTCCAAAGTGGTTTCCTTTTATTGAACTCCTGTTCTGAGAGCACAAACATTGAACAGAATGGGCCTATTTGAGTTCAGCTCTTGTGCTGGACAAACAGAAAATAGCCTGGAGAACTTGAAAGTGACCAACTCCTCTGGCAAAGTGCGTGGTCAGTCCAGAGAATCTCAGCTACCGAGCGGATTACCCCAAGCCTGGATTGTCTTCCTTTTGTTGAGTAAGCTTGGCTTTTTGCCTTCAGGCCTGTTAGATTCTTTTTGTGTGGGACTAGGCTGTGGGTAGCGTGTAGAAGAAGCCTTGCTGTGCTTTGTGGTGCAGTCTGCATTCCTGTGAGCAGTATCTGCTGCCTGCCAGGTATCTGAGCAGCATCTATCCTGCTGAGAATTGAGTTTTTAATGTATTGATCCATTAAAGGGAAAAAGGTGAATTCAGAAATCAACCTGCTTATAGCTAATGCTGAGGTCCTTTAGACCAAGAGGGCAGCAGAACACTTCAGAGATGTTTTCCTGAGTAGATGCTTAGGAAGTGGATATGCTTGGGTCACACTGGCTTGTATAATAGACATTTGAGGAGGACAGCAGCCTCTACCATGTGTCAGGCACCGCCCTGGATGTTGGGTTCTGGGCTATGATTAAATCAAGCCCTTGCTCTTGAGATGTCATCGGTCTTCACCATGTATATGTGGGGGCGGCATTAGTGATACTTGAGAAATAAAACATGGTAAATAAGCACAGTTAGTGAAGTGAGCAAGTGGAAGGAGTTTTCATCTCATACAGAGTTCTCAGGGTGGGCCGGAGGATGGCATCATCCAAGGAAGAGATGCCTTAGGGGCTGTGCATTCAGACACATGAATCTGGCAGGAGGTGTTAGTTGTGTAAGGGAGAGTACAGTGTTGAAGCCAGGAAGATCAGCGTGTACACAAAGTCAGCTTCCAGGTACCTATCTCACTAGGGAAGGTCATCAGTAGGAAAGGCATACCATAAGGTACACTTACGACTATGGAATTCTTCTAACTAGGAAAAGTAATCAATATATTCATACCTATAGACTTCAAAAGGTGCCTACAGTGAGAAATTGAGTTTAAACAAAACTAACTGAAAAGTACTATATATAAAAATACCAGACTTTATAAATTTAGTATATCAATGAGAGAGAGAGAGAGAGAGAGAGAGAGAGAGAGAGAGAGAGATTATGATCTTAGTGTGGGTCAAAACTAGCTGAGCTCTGCTTATTTACTTGGGACTAAACACCACAAATGTGTATCCATTACTCACATGATGGCAGGTCCCTGTGGGTCACCTTAGAACTGGGATCCTCATTTCATGACGGGGCTGGAGAACCTTCAGCACCTCGATCCCATCATCGCTAGAAATGGAAAGGGCCCTGGAGGGTTACAGACAAGTTTCAGTTCCATGCAGAAAGGATGCACCACACATGCCCATGCTTTACCAGTCAAAGGTGGTGATGGAGCTTCACATAGCTGCGAAGAAAACAGTTAAGAGAGCGTGTACCAGGTGCCCAGTAGCAGGAGGCGGTTGAGTGGATGCAAGGAAGGAAGGAAGAACTCTGCTTTCCTTGTGAACGGTAGACAGGAGAGGGACGATGCGATGATAGGAGCTTAGTTCTTCCCAGATGGAGGAGCAGTGAGCCAGGAGAGTGGCTGGAAGGACAGAAAGTAACAGACAGACACGAGAAAAGTGGGCGGTGTGGTGAGAGAGGGAGAGCATGCCCAAAGGTAAGCTCTGGGTGATTAGAGATTGGACCATCACTGGTGGAAGTGAGTTGTCTGCCAGAGGAATTGTTCTCCGAACAAGGAGGAAAGCTCCTAGTGGTTAGCAATTTGTGAGCTTGCATTTCAAGTAGGAGGTGTGTGTGTGTGTGTGTGTGTGTGTGTGTGTGTGTGTTTGTGTGTGTGTGTGTGTCTCCCAAAGGTCACCTGAGGACACATACTTGTGACGGCTTTAGTGAGATGATGTGGCCACTTAGGATTCTGCATTAATCTGGTGTTTCCTGCAGTCATCGAGAATGATCTTGCTTTCTCTCCAGCCTCTGGACAGACAGAGCTACATCTAAGAGAAATCTCATGTCCCCATGGTAACATGGAAACCCTAGAGATTGCAAGAGATTTTTCTGGAGCATTTACCCACATGTTCTTTAGATATGCCAGATCTGTTTTAATTTTACATGCTGTGCTATTTGAAGTTGGGTTAGAATGTAGGTTTAATAATCTTAGAACCCTCTGAGATCATGATGTTGTGAGGAACATTCCTCCTGGTAGACTTGAACTGAGTTTAACTGTTCTTGGACTCACCTTGCTGGTTCCTCTAGCTGACTCCTGAAGTACTACCGAAGCCCTGAACTTTATTTAATTCAACTTGTTTGCCCCAACTTAGGAAAAATCCATTTCGCCGTGTAAGCCTAAGTAAATGCTGGCACAGGTTACTAGCGGATTTGAAAAACAGTCATTGCTTCCTGAACTGTTCTGTGTATTCTGTCCCCAGGAAGATTGCATGAGGAGGTAAGCCTGGGCAGACCTCTGCTCGCTGAGGGAAAATCCCCTGAACCCAGTGGTGGGTCTCTTCCCATATAATACAGCTTCATATGTAAACCGCCTAAAACCAGTGTTGCTGCCTGGATTTCACGTTCCGTGTACAGAATAGGAAAAGCATGTCATGCTGAGTACTAATGCTTTGCTGAAAAACATCTCCATAGTCTTTTATTTTGAAGAGGCACACAAAAAAATATTTGCTAGAAAAAGTATTGCTATGTTAATCTGCCCACCCACATTTTTTTGTCCTGACAGCCCATATAAATATAGCTTGTAGCGGAGGAAGCGGGGGCTTGAAGCAGATGGTCTACACCGAACCCAGTCTTCCTGAGGACTCCTGGTCACTTGCCCACCCACAGTGGCTTTCTCTTTGGCTGTCATTCCAAAATGACAGACTTGCAGCAATTAGAGACGATTTAGAGGCCACTTCATTGTCTCTGCAGAGTGGGGCTAGGTGGGAAGGGTGCCCCTTCCCTTAGGATATACAAACCATGAAGAGAGCCAGCATGCATGAGTCTTGGGAAGTCTCAGCTGTGGTCGGGCCACCGCTTCCCCATCTCCAGAAGCCGCTGCCTCTCAGAAGAGCTTGTGCGATGAGTAGATGCCCTGGTTAGAACGGTCTGAAGAGAAGGAAGGGCATGTTTCAGGGATCCATGTTTTCTTAGGGTGCATCACCTCATCTTCTGTGTGCCCTTTCAATTGTGACAGTTTCTCAAAGATGGCTTGTGAGACAACACTAGGACATGGTGGCAGGCAGTGCTCCTAGGTTGTAAATGTGGTACAGTTTCCTAGGAATGGACAAGAGGGGACGAAGCATGGAACCCCAGCCTGCATTCTCTTTGAGTCTGGGTGGAGTGGAGCCTGGAGCCCAGGTCACACTTGTGAAATCACGTGAAACTTGCAGTGGACCAGGTGGGAGCTGCCCTTTCCAGGTCTGTGTAGCTGTGCTGGGCTCTGTGCTCTCCTCATATGGCGTGGGACACTAGGCACCTGCTCCCTCCCTGTGTCTGTGTGCTCTGCCCCTCTGCTTGATCTATCATCTGCTCAGTCTTTTGATATTCTTCCATCTCTATTTCTTTTGTGATGAAAATGATCAGTTTTGTTACCCGGTAAGCATTTTCATCTCCATTCTAGACCTTTCTCTAAGTGGTTTTATATTGATTGTTTTTATTGAAGTGAAATTCATGAAACATAACTTAGCCATTCTAAAATGAAGAATGCAGTGCTATGCAGTGCTATGCAGGGGCACCGTCTAGTGCCAAAACCTCTTCCATTATCCCGAAAGGAAACTCTATATTATTAAAAAATTACTATGCATTTTCTGCCCCACAAGCTGACCCACAGACCCTGCCAATCAGACCACAAATATCTGTTTTCTATCTCAATGGATTTACTTATTTGGTACATTTCATATAAATGGAATCATAGAACATGGGGCCTTTGAGGGTCAGCCATTCACGTTATATCATGTAATGTGGTAATGTGACTTCACTTTATGGCTGTCTCACATTCTAGTTTATAGATGTGACAGATGCTGTTTCTCCATTCATCCCTATTTGTTTTCCTGTCTTTTTTGTTATGCAAATGCTGTTATAAATATGTGTGTTCATGGATTTGTCCAGTTCCTGATTTTAGGATTTTTTTAAGTTATAGACCCAGGAGTGAAACTGTGGGGTCATGTGGTTATTGGATATTTAACTGTTCTGGAAGTGCTAAGCTATATTTCATAGCAGCTGAACCATCTGCATACATGCCTGATTCTAATGCACAGGCATTAGATTCTAAGCCCTGACTTCTATCCACGCATCAGTGCACTCAGCAAAACCTCACGTCTGCAATGGTTTGTCTACTCCGATGGGATGTCCCACAGTTCAGAACAGGAACTCTTTATCAATTTTTCAGCTGTGTGGTGCATGCACGCCGTAATAAGTGCATGTGTAGAGAACAGAGAGCAATCTTAAGTGGTCCTGCTTGACTTCTGCCTTGCTAGACACAGCGTCTCTTGTTCTCCACTGGTTAACCAAGCTGGCTGGCCTTCGAGCTTTCAGACATCCTCCAAAGCCTGCCCCTCATCTTGCGATAGGAGCCTGTGGCTACTGCATCCAACTATATGTGGTTCTAGGGATATATACCAGATCCTCACACTTGCATGGTGCTTTACCCACTGAATCATCTCCTGAGCCCAGTCAATTCTCCATCGTACCTCCAAGAATTTGTTCCACCAGGCTGCCCTATTTTACCGGAGGTTATTTCTCAAATGAACATGCTGTTTTCTGCCCTGCCTTTAATGGGAAGGACTGGAGTATTCTGACATTCCATGTGCTTCCCTCCACAGGTGTCCTTCTTCCTCTTCATCATCTTCGTGGTATACACCATGCTGCCCTTCAACATGCGAGATGCCATCATCGCCAGCGTCCTCACCTCTTCATCCCACACCATCGTGCTGAGCATCTGTCTGTCTGCAACGCCGGGAGCCAAGGAGCACCTGGTCTGGCAGGTGGGTGCCCCTCCACATGGGAGCCCACTTAGCATGTGCCTTTTGATGGCTCCCTGGCAGCTGTTCTCTTTCTGCTCCTTGACAAGGTCTCTGAGCATCACCGAGGGCTGCTGAGTCCTGTCCTCCTCCATCAGTGGGGTCAGCAGTCACTTAGCCATTAGCTACAATGAAACTAATGTTCTCAGGGTAATTGAATATGGAAAAGCTAATTTGCTGATTACTGAATAGTGATATGATTTTGATGGAAGGATACTCGTACTATACATTATAATTTAGCACTCTTATTTTAAGGTGAACCAACATATGGTGCAGAAGTCTCCCCAACCTCTCACTTTACAGTGTATAAAGAATTTCTCTGTTCTCAGTCTTCTGGAAAATCCGTGAGCATTAAAAATAGGTCTTTAAAATGCTACAACAGCAAAGTTGTGCTTTGCAAATAAGTGTCATTTCAAAGAAGCCATTCTCTTTAATTAGTTAAAAGCATTTTAAAAAGCTATTTGATTTCCTGTTATGTATATCCATAAACACAAGGGTCGGTGATCTGGAGTTATTCCTACCAGTCTCCTTTTTTCTTACCTGTTAAAAAGTATGTTTTATTTTACTGTATGGGAATCAGTTACAACAAATATGTTCACGGTCTAAAGTGTAGTGAGGCAAACAGAGCCACAGGGATGATGCAGTGGAAGGGGCAGGTGGTTTGGTTTTGTTCTGATTCAGTTGTGATGGAATTGAACCACAGCCTGTTAAATGCTAAGTAAATGCTCAAGCACTGAGCTACATCCTGACCACACTGAAGGGATTTGTAGACATGGCTAATCTGAGCTTCGTAGGGTGCTAGAAACCAGGCTTTCATGGACTTTATGGGGTATTTCACTTGGACACTTGCAAGAGGCTAACCCTCGGACATGGAGGAGTCTCTCTTGGTTAAGCAGCTCTCTGGGGATCTTTTTCTCAATGGGTAAGGGAGAGGATATGGTACAGAACACCAAGTGAAGCAGGCCGCTACTTCATGGTAGCCAGGAAGCCGAAGAATGGAGAGGAAGGATCTGGGACAGGACATCATCTTCAAAGACATGCCCTCAGTTCTCTCAGAAGCCACCACCTCCCAACGGCCCATTCACTATAAATTCATCAGTAGGTTAGTTCTTTGATGAAGTCAGAGCCCTCTTGATGCAGTCACCTTTCAGTTGCTCTGCCTAGGGACCATGCCTTGGACACAATGAGCCTTTGGAGTAATTTTTAACTTCGAGGCGTGAGAGCGTTCTGTGTCTGCACTGAGAACAAAAGCGGTCGTCTCTAGCTTTACACTGTACACTGGGGCTGCACCACCCTAGACACAGGTGGAGGTGGGCCGGCTCTTAAGGGAAAGAGTGACGGAAAGGTGCTACTCAGCATATTTAATTGGTAAACAAGGACTATGTATATTCAAGCTGCAGAGCATAGTAAATTGATACAGAGATAGATTGTATAATGAGTGTATGAACAGACTGCTTGACACACCCGTCACTACCATGTTGTAGGTTAGATGCAGAACTTCATCCTTTTGTTACTAAGGGCTTGTGCCCTTCGACTTGCATCTTCTCGCTTTCTTCAAATCCCAATCTCTGATAGTTCCCCCTTCCCCACAAAGAAAAACAATCCCACTGTGCCTGGAAGAAGGTCCAGAAATGCTTCCCTGTGCACATGTTCTGCCGAGATTTGCCCCCCTTTCTGCAGTGACACATCCCTCCAGCCTGTGGATTTCTCTGTGAGCAATGCCACACCACTGCTGACACCAGGAAGCTCTACACTCAGGTTTGCAGCTCTGTGCAGTACCAAGTGCCTGGTCTGTGCAGCTGGTCCACCTTCTGGACATAGCTGTGCGAAAGCCTCCATAACAATCAAATGGTGTTTTAAAAAGAGGGAAAGTAAATGCTTTATAATGAAATAGGTGTATTGGAGACCATTGCATATTGTATTGAATTGCTTTCAAAGCATTTTTATCTATTTGTAGTGTTAAAAGAAATTAGAAAGATATGAACTTAATTACCCCCCCCAAAAAAACTAATATAAGAAAATACACTGGCGGACAGCAAGAGGTAAGATAATTCTGTAATGAAATAAAGAATTTTTAAAAAATATTTCATTTATTATTTTTATTTTATGTGTATGAGTGTATTGCCTGCATGTATGTGAGTGCACCCGTGTTGTACAATGACACGGAGGTCAGAAGAAAGCTTTGGATTCCCCTGGAACTGGAGTTAAGGACGATTCATAGCTGCCATGTGGGTGCTGGGAATCGAACCCGGGTCCTCTGCAAGAGCAGTCAGTGCTCTTAACCACTGAGCCATCTCTCCAGCCCAAAATAAAGATTTTTAAAATGTCTTAATTATATATTATTTCATACAATGATAACATTTGAAAGAAAAGGACCAGTTAGTCCTTATCGGATGACTTCAGCAATCATTTCCTGATTCCAAGAACCAAGAAAAGTGCCATAGGATGCTTGAGTTTAAAGGCAGAGTTAGCCAGGAGTGGTGGTGCACGCCTTGAATCCCAGCACTTGGGAGGCAGAGGCAGGCGGATCTTTGTGAGTTTCAGGCCAGCCTGGTCTACATAGTGAGTTCCAGGACAGCTGGGGCTAAAAGGAGACCCTGTCTCAAAAAGCCAAAAAAAAAAAAAAAAAAAAAAAAAAAAAAAAAAGGCAGAGTTAGCGCCGTGTAGTAAACATTGAACTTCTTAGCTATTACTAAAGGAGGGTTCATCGTTAAACCAAAGTGTGAAGAAATGAACTCCCATGACTTTTTAACCACAGCTAGAAATAGAACCTAAAATACCATTAGATTGAGGGTAAAGAAAAAATTTCATTGAATTCTTTTCATACACAGTATATGTAACTTAGAAGGCTGTGAGCTTGGTAGTTGAATCTCAGTTGTTTAAAACAACAGTGTGTAAAATAAAGGATACTGACCAAGTGTAAGGAAAGGCTGCCTGGCCATGACAGCAGCACTCCGTCCTCTGCACCATCAGCAGAGGAGTGCATCTGCTCAGCACAAATCCATTTTAAGAATTGTGTGTCATTGTTCATCTTTGATGTGGGCAACCTACTGAGATCGTGTAATATTTATCTATTAACCAATTGACTCAAGAGCAAACTTTACTCCCTTTCAGTGCTGTATAACAGAGTTCATTGTTTTCGGGAAATTCATTTAGCCAGCATTTGCCGTAAAGCAAAAAGTCATCTCAGGCTGTGCTGTCCCACAGTATGGAGGACATTTAGTTATCCTTGAACGTTATGGAGCATGTTACCTGGCACATTAGAAACATGAAGGGTAACCCCTACATGCATCTTGAAGTAATTACAGACTTACCAGTAAGTTTCCAGTACAGTACAGAGAATTATTTCCCCCTTAACCACTGGAGGGTAACTTACTGATCCATTACCAATCGGATAGTCCCGCCCTTTGCTTTAGTGTGCATTATCTTACACAACCACGATGCACCTGTCAAAAGTCGGGAAGTCCTTTTGTTCTATTGCGTCCACCTGATTCTCAGACCCCCCTTCATATGAAGTTCCTCCGTTTTCCTCATTGTTGTGCTTTTTGGTGGTTCAGAATCCTCCCTGGCAAGACGTTATCAGTCTCCCTGGTTTTAGTTTAGAATGATTGCTTAGTCCTTCTCTGGGGCTCATGGTTTTCACCTTGTTGAAGATTGCAGGTGCATTAATGAGTGGAAATGCCTTTCAACTTGAGTTTGAGGTTTTGTGGTGAGCAGATTCAGGTCTGCATCTGAGGCAGGGACTGGATAGCCAGCAGGCCTGGGGGTTCTGGGTTGGACATAGGGACCACATGTTCTTTGAGTGTTTGCACTGTGACTGTCCACTAAGCCGTTCCACTTCGAAGTCACTATTTGCATCCTCATTGATGACGCTTGCTTGGAAGGAAGTACTTCAGCGTTCGGCATACATCCTACTTTTTATCATTCAACTTATTCTTTTATTTGCATACTGCGATGTATTTTCCTGTTTTATTTGATATGTGTTAAACTGTGACTGTCGTTGTTCATTTAGATGCCCACATCTGTCAGATGTTTCCAGGGGCACCGGCCAAGCTAGTTTGGTACATCTTCATCCTCTTCTGAGAAATTTGTGTCTTCAAAAATAAAATATTTCAGCTTCATCTTGTTTTGCTATGCCTAGTCCTAAAATTAAGGATCTCTACATTTTATTTACATATTTATCTATTTATTTACTTATTTATATTTATTTAGTGAGGGCTCAGGTATCCCTAGTAGACTCAAGCTATCTCCATAGCTGAGGATGACCTTGAACTTCTGATCTTCCTGCCTCCATCTCCCAAATGCTGGAATTACAGGTGTCACTAGCATGCCTGTTTCATGTAGTGATGGATATTGAACATGGGTCTTATTACACGCTGGGCAAGCACTCTGCCACCTGAGCCCAGCCTCAGTCCTCTTCCTGTTTCGATAGAGTGTGTCATTTAGAGGTACTGGACATTAGGTGCTTTTCGCTCCTGTTTGTTATTTTTACAATCAGGTTGTCATTACACTGACTGTGAGGCCCCACACACCAACAGCTGCATTTGTTGCGATGCACACTTGTGTTAGTTACTTCCTATTGCTGGGACAGAAGACCTAACAAAAATCAACTTGGAGGAGAGAAGCGCTTATTTTGGCTTACCATTCGATAGGGGACACAGTCCATCACCATGGGGAAGGCATGCCTGGCATTCAGGAAGCAGAGGGACCACATTTCATCCACACACAAGAAGCAGAGAGACGAGTGGGGCCAGGCTATCAAACTTCACAGCCCGCCCCCAGTGATGTACTTTCTCCAGCAAGGCTCCACCTCCTGAAGTTTTCATAACCTCCCCAAACAGTGCCACCCACTGGGAACCAGGTGTTCAAACACATAAGCCTATGCCTATTGGGGATAGGCTTCAAACCACAACAGTACTTAACTATTGCACACTATGACTTCACATGGATTTACCCTTTGGCCA